ATTAACATTGTAATTTTGAAAATTACATAATTTAATGTTGCAATGAAAAATTGTAATTTTCGATATTCATTATGTAAACTTCACCAAATACATTAGGTAAATATATTGAACACACATCTGATAATGTAAATTCTATTTACATGGTAAACTAACCTACATAAAATACGTATTGTCGTATAATAACAGTTTCAAAGGAACTTTACATAAATATCTCACATAATATATTCTGTAATGTAAATGTGTTAATTGGACCAAATTACCTAATTCGACATGTATTTTAATAATTTCATCAAAATAATAGTAATAGCTATTTGTGTATTAAGAGCGAAAAGTTATATTTTGCCGCTTGAGACAGAAAGTTGCCCACGCGATGCGAAGCGGAGGGTGCGCCAATCTGTGGAAAGCGGCAACGAAGTTTTTGCTCAAAATGCACACAAGATTTTTTCTACGATCACACTTTTTTAAGAAATAGATATACAAACTGAAAATTTGTCGTAAGTAGTGTATAATGTGTTGCCTATACCTACGTTAATCATGAAAATAGCACTTGATATTCAAATTACATAACTTGGATAATATCACAAAAAACATGAAACTACGTATAAATAAGTTGAAAATCATTTATTAAAAAGAAATATTATATTATAGCTTATTTAAATTAAGCGAGCAACAAAGCTGTCAACTTTGTCGCAAAGTTGTGACCTAATATCAGTTCGCGGAAAACGTCAACTTTGCGGTTGAATTTCGAAGCGCAAAAGCCTACTATGGATAGTGATCATAGAAAAAATAAACTACCATATATTATGCTGTAACCAAACATAATAAGTACTATGAAAATTTTTTACACAATATTTACCTTAATAAAAGAGCTTATCTTGACCTGAAATTATGTAATTTATCAATTATTATTATCATAGCAGGCAACACGCTGTACTTAGTGATTAGTATTTGCTTGTTTAATGTAAGATGTAAGTACTATATCTGTATCTCTAACGTGTGGAGGGTGGGTTGCCCCTAAGGCACTTAGGGCTCACTAGGCCTATTGTCCATCCTCCTAAGATGATATGCACCTCCTAGCTCGTGAGCCAGTCTAGAGACTTAATGTAGTTGACAACGTCGCCAAGAGGTGCTTCTCTTATATCGGCCGGTGTTAGCCGATACTCGCCGAATACAAATCTTCTAATAAATGAGAGCGTCGAACAATCGAAGAGGATATGCTCGATGGTCTCATCTTCTTGTTCGCACCCTCTGCAGAGTGCATGATATATTATTGGAATCAAACTTAAAATTTTAAAAACACATTAATCAACTTTTAAAAAATGCATACGCTACACTTAAAGCTTTATATGGACATAGGCAGTCCCTACACATATTAAATCCCTTATTCTTTCTATATTTAATTTCGGTGATACTCTTTACAGTCCCTTTTTATCTAGTCTGCATCCCTTATGTACCTTTCGCATAGCCTTTCCAATGTCTTCATGGAAAACGATGTCAGACTAATTGGTCGGTATGTTTTTGGGGCAGTGTAATTCATCCTTTCAGGTTTAGGTATGAGTACCACTTTTACCTCTCTTCATTTTTTGGGTATATACCTCAGAGCTAAAGAGTATCTGAATACGAGCCCTAACAACTATATGTTGGAACAAGCAGTTATTTTACGAATAAAATGCCAATTTGCCGAAATTCTTTTATTCTATTTTTTTTTAATGTAAATATAAAAGTAACAATATTTTTTATGATGTATGGAATTAGTTTTACGATTTAATTATATATTTTTTGTTGGTTACTATTTAATTACTTCTTTGACAGAAAAATGCTGACAACTAAATATTGGAACAAGTGCTTTTTAACCAATTAAAATAAAAATTAACAATGCGCAACGTCACCCTTAGCTCGAATAACAGCCTGAACTCTATTAGGCATTGTACCAACCAGTCCTTCACAGAATTTAGGGGTGAGACTATCCCATATTTCTTGCAATTTAGCACGTAGTTGTGGTAAAGTACGCTGAGGATTATTTCTTAGACGTTGTTTCATTTTGTGCCAAAGTGTCTCTATTAGATTAAGATCCGGGCTGCTAGAGGGATGTGATAAAATTATAATGTTATGTTCTCCCATCAATTTTTAAGTAGATTTAGCTGTATGGCATGAGGCTTCGTCCTGTTGAAAGATAAAGTCTCCGGATGGATATAACTTTGCTGCACTTGGTAAAAGCGAATGTTCAAGGATATCTTGATATTTGGCTGCGTTTACTATGCCTTCAATAAAGTGTACAGCTCCCAACCCTTTGGCCGACATACAACCCTACACCATAATGCCATGCGGAAACTTTATAGTCCTCTTGAGACAATCCTTATGGAATGCTTCTGTTTTTTCCCGAATTACACGCATTCGGTAATCTCCCACACAGATATAAAATTTGTTTTCGTCGCTATAGATTACTTGGTACCAGTTATGTTTGGTCAACGAAAATTTTGATTTGGCCCAAATGTAACGATTCCTTTTTTGAGTTTCCATCAACAATGGTTTTTCTTTGGCCTTTTCGAATAATTTAAAAATTAGAAAATTTATACCGCAAAGAAGAACCTATTAAACAAACCTTATAAAAACTAAGAGCGCTCTTGTGGATATATTTGCGACAGCATTCTCTAGAAAAATTCATTTCAGTTTCTCTATTAAACCTTGAGGTTACTTCTCGTAGTGTATTTTTTCTTCCCGACTTACATATTCTAATTAAATGCCTTACACTTCTTTGAGAAACAGTTTTGAACGGCCTGAGCTTTTACCCTGAACATACTGGTATTTTCACCATATTTCTTAATAATATTAAACACATTAGTTGTGTTGCTATATTCAATTCACTGGAAATTTCAATAATTGTTTTCCCTTTATGGTATTAATGAATAATAATAATATCTCGCACTTTTGGATCAGTAGGTTTTCCACGTACCATTATTGTATTTTACTCTTAATATAACTGACAGTTGTTAATTATTAATACTCAAATGACACGTGACAATTATTGTTGATAACACAATACTTAAGCCTTGGTTTCTTTGAACACTTCGTCGCGGTGAGCGGACAGTCCGTCAACCGTCGCGTTTTGACGATTTTACCCAACCAGAGTATTTAAATGGCAATGGTTTTCTTGAATCCGCTTAGCTGAACAGGACGGCGTCATGCCGCTGATTTGTCGCGAAGAGTCGGTTGATATCTGTTGAGTTTGATATGAGCGGAATCGTCGGCGTGTGCGGAGACTATATTGTTATTAATTTTAAAACAATGAGTGACAAATTCACACATACAGATGACATCATGACTTTATTTTTAAGTTTCTTGGAAATTATGTCCTTTATAAAACTCAACACGAATTCAAAAAGATCTGTAGAAAGTCTAAAATACTCCCTAAATTTGGTTTCATTTCCAAAAAGCCTCCGCTGCACAGTGATATTAAAGGCACCTTCTGTATCGCGACACAAAAACAACTCATCCACTGGCTTATTGGAAACTTTGACGGTTGCAATTGCCAGTTCCTCTTGTTCTTCCTCTTCCAACAATAATAACGCAAACAATTTATTTGCAACCATTTTAGTACTTTCCGTTTACATTCATAATACATAAACAGCACGTACAGACATAGAGAAAGTATAATTTTCTATATTTTTTAACAAACCACCTTGGGCGAAAATTGCTGTCCTCAGCGGTCGACGGACTGTCCGCTCACCGCGACGGAGTGTTCAAAGAAACCAAAGCTTTACTCGTATGTTTCATTTCAAAACCTCCTTCGCGTTAGGCTGATAAAACTCAAGAAACCTAAGGCAAAGCTAAATATGTTCCAATATTAAGTTGTCAGTATTTTTCGATTGTCAAACAAGTAATTAAATATTAATCAATAAAAAATATATAATTAAACCATAAAAATAATTCCATACATCATAAAAAATGTTGTTAATTTCATATTTACAATTAAAAAAAATGGAATAGAAGAATTTCGTTAAATTGGCATTTTATTCGCAAAATAACTGCTTGTTCCAACATATAGTTGTTAGAGCTCGTATTCAGATACTCTTTAGCTCTGAGGTATATACCCAAAAAATGAAGAGAGGTAAAAGTGGTACTCATACCTAGACCTGAAAGGATGGATCGTATACCCACTAGGTGCGGTGTGAGTTTTTTCAGACCCCATTGAAGTAGGGCTGGAAAGGTACCGTCAGGTCCTGGCGATTTAAATAGAAAGAAGTTGGATATTGCCCATCTAATATTTTCATAGTGTACAATATGTGTGGCAGTTTGCCAATCATAGACAGATGGGCTGTATTCTTCCTCTGTCATGTCGGTCACGTCTGCGATGATCGAGTCAGGAAAGTGTGTTGACAGCAGAAACTCGATGCTATCTTCGAGGTTGGCAGTTTCGTGCCATCCTTTTTGAAAAGCGCACCAATGCCTCGGTGTGGATCTTTTGAGAGAGCTTCTTGAAGCCTCGCTGCCTGCGGGAAATCTTCGACTTTTTCGCAGAAGGATCTCCAAGCATCTCTCTATTTTTGTCTGAAGATTTTTTGTATTCTTTGAGGTGGGATTTGTAAGTATCCCAGTCCTCCTTGAGTTTTGGGGTTCTTGCCTTATTAAAGGATTCCATCTTCCTGAGGTGATCCAACTCGAGACACCACTATGCGGTATTCGTCTGATCATGTTGGACCAGCCTCAGGGGACAGGCTTTCTTGTAGGCATTGTTTATTGTGCTTTGGATAGTACTTCTCCAAAGTTTATTGTTTGATGTTTCGGCCTCCATCTCTCTCAAAGCCCCTTGGAGAAGGTGGGCATAGATTGTCCTGTCCGTCTTCCTAGGGTTCCGAGATAGCGTGGAGGTCGGTAACATCAAGTTTATTTTGAATGTTAACCAGCGGTCTGACATCGAAATGTTATCAGACACTTGCCAGTTAAGAATTAATTTATAGATATCAGTTGTGGATAAAGTGATATTTATTAGTGTTTGACTGCGAGAGTTTAAAAATGTTGGTGTAGTACCTTTGTTTAAAATACAAAGATTTTTGGTAATTATATAACCATAAAGTGATTTACCTCTAGCGTTGTTATCCTTACTGCCTCAACTGAAGTGATGAGCGTTTGAGTCGCAACCTATTACCAGCTTGAACTTCTGTTCCAGGCAGTATGCAATCAGATCCTCCATCTCTTTACTGGGTGGTGGAGCAGTTGCATCGGAGGGACGGTATGCAAATGCCACGATTAACGTTTTCTTTTCCCTTTTGATGGCGTATTCTATCCTAACCGCTGTTATTTTCTAGAAATGTAAATAGCTGTTCTAGGTTGTCGGTTGCTGGGAAAGCTAAAAATTGAACCATTAACAGCCGGTTGCACCATTGCATTCTAGAATCCTAGGTCGATCCTAGGATCAGAATAAGTTTTAAATTGTTGTATCAACCGTAAATCAGAGTTTTAGGTCAAATCGGTATCTCACATCTCAGGTCACCAATATTGTCATTCTAGGATGCAGAATTGGGAATTTTAACCTCACTTTTGAACTATAAGGTAACAGCATATTTTCCAACATAGTAAAATGGATGTAGATTTAGATTTTTTAGTTAATATACTAGATAATGTAGACATAAACATAAGAAATAATATACCATGTCATATATATGAACGTACAAATTATTTTGAAACTTATTCTGAAACAGAATTTTTCAAGCGTTTTTGTCTTCAAAAAAGAACGGTTTTACAAATATTAGAAAGAATAGAACACGAACTAGAATACCCACATAATAGGTAATTATATAATTTAGAACTACATTTTGAATTTTACCTAAATCGTTATTTTTTTTTAGAAATAATTCTTTGACACCAGTAGTAAATCAGTTACTTTTAACACTGCGTACTTTTGCTACTGGTAGCCATTTGTTATCTTCGGCAGATTTTATAAAATGTGATAATTTAACAGTTTCCAGAATAGTAGCAAAAGTATCTCGTGTATTAGCAAATTTATCCGCAGAATACATATATATGCCTCGAAATGAATTGGAAATTGCTGAAGAACAAAATAAGTTTTTTGACATTTCCGTTTTTCCTCGTGTTATTGGAGCAGTAGATGGTACCCATATATGAATATTATCTCAAGGTATAATTAATAAATTATACATTAACATGTTGTACTTTTTATTTATTTTTACAGGTGCAAATGATGCTGAAAGTTTCAGGAACCGGAAAGGTTATTTTTCAATAAATGTACAAGCAGTTGCTAGTGCAGATTTGCTTTTTAAAGATATAGTAGCTAGATGGCCTGGCTCAACTCATGACGTTACCATATTTAATAATTCTAGACTTAAAGGTCGCTGTGAAATGGGTCATTTTGGAAATGGAATATTTTTAGGTAATATAATACTAATTATAAAATTATGATTTTTTTGTTTGTTTTTATAGGTGATAGTGGCTATCCATGCGGATCGTATTTATTCACACCATTCATAGAACCTAGAAATCCAGGCGAAAGAAATTATAATACAGGGTGTTAAAAAAAAAGTATCACAAAATAAAACGGGGGGTAGTATGGGCCAAAATATGCAGAAAAGTCTTAATAAACATATGTCCGCAAATGAATGGTTTTAGAGATACGCAGTGTTTTGTGTTTTGTATCATTTTTTGATTATCTTTTTTCATTCTCAAAAACATGCTTTTCTTATCGGAGTCTACCGATGTTTTTTCATAGATACTATTTGCAGTTATTATTTTGTTGTGGGTGAATAATTTTATAAATTTTAGTTATGCCTGTTTACACTAATATTGAATTAGCTGACATGCATTTTATGTACGGTCGTGCAAATGGCAATGCGAGGGAAGCGCTACGTCAGTATTTAAACATCTCATTTAACTCTATGTTGTTATTGATTGTTTATAAATATCATTGTTTTTTTATATTAATAAAAAATTGTTATAAACACAAAGTTGTCCGTATCTTCGAAACCGTTAATTTGCGGTCATATATTTATTAAGACTTTTCTGCTTATTTTGGGTCATACTATTCACCATTTCATTTTGTGACACTTTTTTTTTAACACCTTGTATAAGCCATATAACGACTAGAGTAAAAGTAGAAAATTTATTTGGTGTATGGAAGAGGAGGTTTCCAATTATGGCATATGGCTGTAGAATGAAATTGGAAAATATTTTACCAGTAATTACTGCAACAGCTATCCTACACAATATAGCTCGAATAAATGGGGAACCAGAACCTCCTCAAGAAAATGTTATGGATCATGAATTACAAGAAGCTTTAAGGGATGGAAATATTCTTATAGCAATTGATGAAAACCTTCGAAACTTCGACCACAGAAGATATTTAGTAGAAACTTACTTTTCTCGTTTATAATCAATCCTCTATTTAATAAAAGTATGGACATAAAATATATTTTTTTTTAAGTTGCCATGTTGAAGGCTATATATTTGCATTGTACCATTCAAAAATGTAGTACCAGTAATTCGTCCAAATTTCTAGATTTGCCTCAAAAAATTGCAGAATGTACAGATAAACAATGTATTTATTGTAAATGTAATGTAAATATTTTTGTAACAGATTTTTCTATTAAATACAAAATGTACATAAATAATATTTTTTATTTTTTTATCTTTTAATATACAAAATAAAATGCGTGTAGAAGAAAATAAATTATATTTATTTATGAGAACAATTCAACATAAAACAAGATCACTGTTTACCTATTTATAACAAAAACTAAAGAAAAAATTATATAATTTAAATTTGCAATTTTTCTTCTTCCAATTTAAACATTTTTTTCTTGTGCTCATATTCTAGGTCAAATAATTTTTTTTTCATCTCTATTTCCTGTAATATTTGATTCCTTTGGGCATGTAAAACTTCAATCTTTGCCTTTTCAACAGGACCTATCTTCTCCAATTTTGGTCTCCTTTTTGCTGACCATCTAGGTTTCTTCTCATTTTTTTCTGATTTTTGTTCTTCAGTCGGCAGAGCTAAATTTTCCGTATTGGCATTGGAAAGTACTTCAGAAGCTCCTATTATATTCACACTTGAAATTTCATTGATGTTTACAATTTCTGGTTCTATTGGTTCTAAAAAGCACCAAATAAAATAATAGTTTATTAAAAAGCCACTTACATATTTGTATAAAGCGAAAAAAAGTTTTAACTCACTTATAACTATTGCATCGGAGTCATAGGGATTCTCTAAACCGGTTATAATTTTATTATTAACTATTGACAATACTAAATCATCATTATTAGTACTACTGCAACTACCATTCATTAATGTACCTCCTCCGGTTTTGTACATTTCTTGCCTTTCTAACGCAGCTTTTTTTCTTGTTTCCATTTTAATATGGGCCCATTGCTTCCTTAAAGAACTAGCGTCTCTGTAGACATTAACATTTTTGGAATTAAATAATTTTTCTATTGTTTTCCAAGTTTGATCTTTTTGTAGATTGCTTCCTGCGTTAGTCTCCTTATTTTCAATAATGTCTTTATATTTTTCTACCAGTTCTGTTAGTACTCTCCTCTCCTCCAATGCATAATTAACACGTTTATTTTTATCATACATTTTGATAAATGTAATGTACCTATACAATACAACAGAAAGGTATCTGTGTATTTTTTATGTATTTAACTCTTAAAACTTCGATTGTGACCGTATTTAATTATACAATTAAAAAGTCAAGCTGACACAAAGCCTGACAATCAAATTCAAACTAAAATAATCATTAGTAATAATAAATTATTCTTCTTTATCATGGACTGTCTTCAATGGCAATTTGGCCAATTTCGTATAAATTACAATGTTGTCACTAGTTCATAAGTTAAAATAAGTTTTAGATAAAATGTCGCCTAGCAATAATGGTGCAACATAAATAGGTTTTAAGTCGTTTCTACATTTAGGTCAGACCTGCCTAAAATTAATTCTACAAATGATTGGTGCAACCGGCTGTTAGATTTTTAAGACCTAAAATTTTGGTTTTTATTATCCAGTGTTCCTGGATGAGTGCTATTGTATCTTGCAGCTCATCAAGGCGCGGCGGCATAATGTTGCCGTAGCCACCCTTTTGTGCTGCAAGTTACATTGTATGATAGTTACCTCTTTTATTGCTTCTCGGTCTTGCGTAAAAAATTGGACAGCAAAGTGGTTTTTTATTCAACCATCCCTTCCTCCAAAAGCGGGGAGGGGATGATCTCTTGTGGCTCCTCAGAGTTCTCTTGCTGTAGGTCATCGATTGCCATTTTTTCTGGCTTGATGTCCTCCACTATTAACTTAAATTGGGGGGGAAAGGGGCATCTACCAAGAAGTCTTCACTAGGTTCGCTTCAGCCACTTTTTCGACCTTTGGCCTTATAGTCAATGAGTTGAACGCATAGCTCATCCTCATTGATTTGGCCTTTAGGGTTCCCATGCCTTCGTCTCCGAAGGTAAGTACTATGATTATTTGTAACTTTTGCAGTGTGTATTAGTGAGAAAATAGGATTTACATAAGTATTTATATAGAAACTAATCAAGTACTTCATTTGTATGTAAATATAATGGATGTCTGATAACTAAAAACATTTTTCAAATTTATTAATTTTAAAGAAATTCATAACATGAGTAATGGCCACTAGATAACATACCGATGATGGCCAATTAATTTTCAACGAAAACAACAATGATATAATTTTTTTTACAGAAATTTGTTTTCATACCTCAAATAGTCACCTTCACCTAATAATAATAATAATAATAATAATAATAAAAAAATAAAAATAACTTTTTCCTTATTTTAAGCTACGATTTTTTTCCAGTGTGAATTTTTAAGTGATAATTTAAATCACCTTTTCGGATAAAATTTTTCGAACATATTTCACACGCGAACGGTTTTTCCCCAGTATGAATTTTTAAGTGCATTTTTAAATTTCGTTTATGTGTAAACTGTTTCGAACATGTTTCACATTTAAACGGTTTTTCTCCTGTATGAATTTTTAAGTGCCATTTTAAAGTGTATTTCTCTAGAAACTGTTTCGAGCATATTTCACACTCAAACAGTTTCTCTCCGGTGTGAATTTTTAAGTGAGATTTTAAATAGTGTTTACGACCAAATTCTTTGGAGCATGTTTCACACTTGAACGGTTTTTTTTCGTTGTGAATTTGTAAATGCCTTTTTAAATCGCCCTTTAGGATAAATTGTTTCGAACATGTTTCACACTCAAACAGTTTTCCTCCGGTGTGAATTTTTAAGTGACATTTTAAATAGTGTTTACGACCAAATTCTTTCGAGCACGTTTCACACTTGAACGGTTTTTTTCCAGTGTGTGTTTGTAAGTGCTTTTTTAAATCGTTTTTCAGGAAAAATTGTTTCGAACATATTTCACACTTGAACAGATTTTCTTCTGTGTGAATTTTTAAGTGCAATTTTAAACTAAATTTCTGTGTAAACTGGTTTGAACATATTTTACAATTGAACGGTTTCTCTCCAGTGTGAGTTTTTGAGTGCAATTTTAAACTGCTTTTGTATGTAAACAGTTTCGAACATATTTCACACTTAAACGGTTTCTCTCCAGTGTGAATTTTTAGGTGTCTGTTCAACGTGCCTTTTTGGGTAAACTGTTTTAAACAAATTTCACACTTAAAAAATTTTTTACCAGTGTGCATATTCAAATGATTATTTAAAATTCCTTCGGTTGGAAATGTTTGAGAACAAATTTGGCACTGCAACATTTTTTCATTGGAATGAAATATATTTGGTGAAGATGGATGTCTGAATATTGTATGTAAACAATTTTTACATCGACAATCCTTATATTTTCCAAATTTTTGTTTACACACTTTTGTTACTTTCTTTACATAATGAACAACAATAAAATGGTACAAGAACTGTGACTTAGTGAGAAAAAATTTGCCGCAGAAGTAACAAGTTTCATAACATCTTCCAAATTGGGCATTGAACAGGTTTTTTCTAAGTGTCCTGAAAGCTAAAACAAAAAATATATTAAATTTAATGCAACATTACTAAGTTATGGTTAATAATTTAATAATTATTAATAAAAATATTAAAAGAGAGATGAGTGCATCAGTGGTTGAAGTCTGGACTTCACGCTTCGAATACCACTGATTGCCATAATTCTGATGCATAGGTAGGATTCCCCACTCCGACCATTCATTGTTGGATTCTAATTAACAATACTGTTCCTAACGTGACATTGTTAAACAGTAACAAAGCCTTCACAGAACACGAAGCTAATAGCCATAGCAGTTAATACTGATGATACAAAAAATATTAATAAAAATAGTTTTTACTGACTGTTAATAGAAAGAAAACTAACAATAATTCACGTACATTAATAGTTACAGTCAAAAAAATAGACAAGGACAATGGTCAGCATGGGCGTCGTTTAGGGGGGGCAAGGGGGGACAGTTGCCCCCCCCCCTGGCTTTTACGACTTTACAACACGTAATGGCTGTATGTCACAATACTAAATTAAGTACTAAAATTTAGCTCTAAATTAACTAATTAATTTAGTACTAAATTTATAACTAAAAATATTTTTTTCCTTTTGCAACGATACCAATTTTTAGTACTAAATTAAGTATAGGTGCACGCGCATTGACGTATTATTACGTGAAATTAGCACAGAAATGAAATATTCTGTGTAAAAGGGACAAGTGATTTTAAAGATGTTTTTATTATGACTTTGACACTAGTTGACTTGACAGCAACCAAACACAGCAATGCTACTAAACCCCACGAAAAAACAATAAAACCTACAAAATCAAACACAAGCGAAATTTATCCAAGAGATAATGCAAAGTTGTAGCTAACCAATAACAAAATGGTACAGAAAAGACCGTTGTATCAACTTTTTCTGTGAAAAACTTCTGAGCAACATTTCAACGCATTTTTAGTACTAAATTTAGTACAAAATAGAACAAGTTCAAATATATAATTAATTTTTTTTGTACTAAATTTAATACTAAATTTGTAGTAATGCAAATTAATGCATTAATCTAGTTCTAAATTTAGCACTTAATTTAGTATCGTAACATACAGCCTTAATATTTGCATTACTAATATTTCTTTAGGTAGGAACAATGTGCGACTCATTTTGCCATAGCTCTATACGGTCAAACTACGTAACTAATGATGGATTTTATTTGTTGCACTAGTGTTACACTCGACACTGTATTCGAACTGTCATACTTGTCTAAAGTATATGCTACATGTGCGCTACAGTTAAATATTTGAAGCTATACCAGGGCTGGTATATCTAAGGGGGTCGCGACATAGGAGTCCATTTTGGACGCCATTTTTTTCGAAATAGTAGTCACATAGTAGTCGCCATTGATCTGGCAACGTGGCAACTTGTAGTCGCCAGGTTTACCAATATAAGAAAAAAAAATCAATGTCATTTCTTAAATGACATTTCCATTATAAAATGCCCATATTTTTTAGGATAAAATATTTCAATTTAATAAATTATTAATCTCAGATGTACATAAAATACGTCGGGAAAAGTAGATCACTTTCAATTTTGTGCTGTTTTAGTTTTGTTTATTTTAAAAGGTAATTGAAGAGATGAAGACAATTTTCTTATAGATGATGCATAACAAATTATTGCTCCCTTTTTTAGAGCTCCAGTCCCTTAAGTCTATTTATTTTAGGTATTTTTAAATTGTTGGTAGGTATTATTCACTTCATTTGTATGTTTTTAGTTAATTTAAATAATTTTGTGTAATATCTTGCGATTTGTTTTCTATACAATTTAGCATGTATTTGTTGTCTACATCTTACAAAGGATGGATTTGAAATACCTTTACAACAGATGTACTTTCCTAAAACTGGCCGAAATTTGAAAGTGAATACAGTTCTTAGAGAAAATCTCCAGTAAAAAATGTCTGCATGCAGAATAACAGTAGCATAGATTAACAAAAGCTGACAAGAGTTGGACAAACCTTTGACTAGCTTTTTTAATATTTCAGGACAATAGTGTTAACAGCAGACTACAACAAAAACATCCAAAATTTAGTAATTAAGCAAAATATTCCAGTATCTATATTTTTATTCAAAACTTTTGTGCTTCTACTCCAATACTAACCATATAGAAGCATATGCATTTTATAGTATTTGCAAGATTCGGATCAAATGTACCCACAATTTATAAAGATTATTAAACTAAAATATTTCAAATAACACCTGCTTTTATGTTAAATATGTTTTTATTAAATACATAAATTAGTCTCAACCACACATTTTTTTTTGTGTTTACTTCTAGTGTAAAAGTGACTACTAATTCAGTCTTTCAAGTTTATTATTTATAGAGACCAGCTACTACAAAATATCTTATTGATGATAACTAATTTCTCTTTAATAATGGTTTTGCATTTATTAACATTTTACAGCACTTTGTTTATATGAAACCTCTATTTAACTCTTAATTAAATCACATTTAAATCAAGTAATTACATTTTCATATTCAACTTATGTATTCTTATTAGAACTTGGTCACTTTTTTTTACTTTGAATCTTTTGACTGTGGTAACAGTCCATTCACCAAACCACAGTCACTTAAAAATGTTGAAAGAGAATGTCATAAAGGTAAAATTCCTTCTTCAATCGTGTTTTTCATGCAATTTTAGGTTGTAAACGTTTTGTCCAACACCTTTTTTACAATTTATCCCAAGCAACACTATGAAAGATTTAAATCCTGGATTTACAGCATTCAGTTTTGAGACGAGTGCAATCACAATGTAGTTTAAGAGATAATTTTCACATGAACACTTATTTACCACAGCACAAACGCATGTACCTATTCATGTAACATTAAAATAAAGTGGAAACAAATTGCATAATTTGGTATACTTATAAAAAAGTACAAAATGTTTTTAGTTTTAATTCGACATTGGACTACGAGGAAAACAGTGGTTCATTCCACTTGTACCATATTGACATTATAATGCACGATGCTCGTTCAAACGAACGTCAGAAAAGTGTTGCCAACTTAAGCTGACTACTATTTCCCCCCTAGCCTCAGTCACCCCCTCATCCATTTACTGGGTCTATGTCGCGACCCCCTTAGATATACCAGCCCTGAAGCTATACTGAACAAATGAAATGCGATTAGTGCAGAAAACTTACACTTAGTGCAACAAATAAAATCCACTATAACACAATTACACAACTAGCACTGGCTCATATTGTCGATTATCCCCGTGCACGCATAATAATAAACACAATATGTTAAGTAGCCTTTAAATTGATTGAATTGTTTAAGGAAATATAAGAAATAGGTAAACACGAGGGTAAACATGACAGGTGTAGTAATTTAAATGCCACGAATTACGTACAACAATCTCTTAAAAATAATATTGAAGCTAATTACAGTTAACGAATATTATAGGTTAAATATATTTATTCCATATCCATATCTTACACGCACCTATCCATTTAACTTTTTTTTTAAAGTTGGTAAACAAAAAACAAAAATCTGATGTGTCCAACACATGACTTTCCTATCTAATTATAGGCTTTTTTCGGTTATTTTGTACAACCTATTGCAGCACCTCTATAAATGTTTAGAGGATAAACTAAATATATACATTTTCCACATACATCTAACTCGAAACATTTTTCTATAGATATTCATTGCAAACGAAAATACTGAAAAATTTAAATTTAGCGTCCGAATATTTATTTGTCGACAAATTTGATCAAATTCCGTAACTTTGTTATGTAGTTTATACAAAATAAAAAAGTATTTCCTTACGATCAGATTTTATGTTAAGTAAAGGGTATGTGACTTTATTTTTTTCTCCGGAAAATCGAAAAAAAAAAAAATGTTTAAAGTAAACAAATATATTTTTTTAATTTTCTTACGTCGTCTGAACATATAGTTGTTAGGGCTCGTATACTGCAATTTTCACAAGACGCTAATAATAATAATATACCAAACGTTGCTCTACATAAATTGACAGCTATATTTGACGTTAAACCACCTCTAAAACAATGAGAAAACTTGGCAGTTTTTTGTACGAATCGCCCATTTAGTTTCGCTTCTTGGGTAGATATTAGGGAGGGCCGAAACATTTTTTTATCGAATACCGTATGTCCTGGGTAACCAAAAGTTGTCATTTCAGTGTAGTATTTTAGCTACAAAATATGGGCTTTCTGAGATAATATCTTCAGGTGCCTACTTGAGGTTAAAATTGGGAAAATTTTGAAAAAAAATCATAAAATCCAAATGAGTGATTTATATGGTGATTCATCTCTATATAGCTGTGCTGATCAAAAATAGAAACTAATAAGCTCAAAAATTTATTACAGGTATCCTGATAAAGGGGTTCAAATTATCGAACTCCCCTAATCAGGTTGACTAGTAACCTCAGGGTCGGGTTCCTGTAAATAGAGAGAAGAAAATGACTGATAGAATGTGAACGGGCCTTTATTATCTTATAACCTCGATGCCTCGATCGTTGTCAAAAGTAAAATTTATAACCAACAAATTACATGTATCCGAAATGTGGACTATTATTAGGAACAGAAGAAAATTATTATGTACAAGGCGTTCCTACAACTATTCTTACCTTTAACTTACATACACTTATAATATACAGGGTGTTATTGAAATACACGTACATATTAAAACTGGGTATTGCGCAGATCCCCACTGAATGTAGAAAAATATTATTTTTTAAAAATACCCCTTATTAAGGGAGTTATTAATTTTTGAAAATTAATTCTAAAACAAACGTACTTCACTGATATGTTGAGGATGACCTATATAAATTAGGTTTATTTACCTATTTTAAACATCAACAGTAATTAATATGCAAGTTTTTGTCAGATGATAAGAAAACTAGTCTTGTAAGAAATAACCATGTTGCCAAGATTTTCGAATTAATTTCTATTTCCGAAGACTGGTTTTTACTACCCTCGTTATCAAAAAACTAGAATATTTGATAAATGATTGTTTTTAAA